TCTTCGTTTGATCTTTTTGTTCTCCTTTCCCGTTGTTAAACTTCGTTTTATGTAATTCAATCATATTTTTTAATCGATGGGAGAAAACTTGAAAGCTTTCAAAACTGCAGAGTGCAGAGTGCTAAAATGTGGTACGTTCTTGAAAATATTCAAGCTAAAACGAAACTTTCATTGATTGATTGATTGTAGGCAAATTTGATTGATCCATGTATAAGGGGCACACTGAATGTTCTGAATTCATGCTCAAAAGCACGTGTGAAACGGGTTGTGCTCACCTCTTCTTGCTCTTCAATAAGATATCGTTACGATGCCCAGCAGGCCTCTCCTCTCAACGAATCACATTGGAGTGATGCTGAGTACTGCAAACACTACAATGTAACCACGTACAAAACCCTTCCAGTCCATGTTTAGCTCCAGAATCCAGATGCATTATAAACAATAACACGTACATGTTGAATTGACGTTGACATGCAATATTCATGTGTAAATTATTGTTTGTGTACAGCTCTGGTATGCTTATGCAAAAACTACAGCAGAGAAGGAAGCCTGGAGAATTGCTGGGGAAAGCGGAATGGATCTCGTTGTGGTGAATCCGTCGTTCGTGGTTGGTCCTCTGCTAGCACCACAACCAACCAGCACTCTATATATGATACTGGCTATACTGAAAGGTTGTACCGCGTGATGATGTTCTAGTACCGAACAATTATTTATCCAATTTGAGAATAAGTAATTGAATTTGCAATTTCTGCGATAGGTTCAAGTGGGGAGTACCCGAACACGACAGTAGGATTTGTGCACATAGATGATGTGGTAGCTGCGCACATTTTAGCAATGGAGGAAAGCAAGGCGTCGGGAAGGCTGATATGTTCGAGCTCGGTTGCGCACTGGTCGGAGATCATTGAGATGCTGAGGGCCAAATATCCATCCTATCCATATGAAAACAAGTGAGTATATATAAAAGGCGATCTCAAGCCAACAAGGCTTCACGCTTTCCAAGGGTCGGGGTGGAACGTTAATCGTATATATAGTTTCCTAAATTTCCGTTGGTTTAATGTGGAAAATTATAAATGGAATTATCTTTGTATTTTTCAGGTGTAGCAGCGTGGAAGGAGACAGTAATCCACATAGCATGGATAACGGTAAAATTGCTCAACTGGGATTTCCACCTTTCAAAACGCTTGAAACAATGTTCGATGACTGCATCACTAGTTTCCAACAGAAGGGATTTCTATGAAAGAATTGCACAAGGCTTTGCTTTTGAGTGCATTCCAAGTTCCGTTTTTAGATATAGTTTGAGCTTTTATCCTTGCACCCGAAGCCTAAGTTCGATTTTTCCCTCCTTCAGTATCACTATAAATAATAGGTGCGGAATGAGCAAGGGTGATAAAGCAAGATCTCCATCCTTATTTGTGTTTTGTTATGTTCTTTTCCTTTGATTTCAATTAATCAAAAAGAAAGAGACATTCCTCGCTTTGATTTCAATCCAAAGAGAACCGTTAATCACGGTTTCTTTTTGTTTAGCCACAATTTTTTTATTTACATAGATTACCATCTAAAATTCTAAAGTACAAAATCTCATCAACTATCTTTTCAATAATTACCAGGAAACTTTTTCCCCAGTAGCCAAGATGAATACAGTACGTGTTCTTATCTCATTAGCTGAAAATTTGAATTGGCCACTGAAACAATTTGACGTAAAAAATGTTTTTCTTCATGGGCATTCGGAAGAAGAAGTATATATGGATTTTCCTCCCGAATATAATGTCGGAGGGAAAACCGGAGTGTTTAGGTTGCAAAAGTCACTTTATGGGCTTAAGCAATTTAGGCAGATATCAGAAATTGGTAGGGAAACTAATTTATTTGTCTCACACTCCTCCGGATATTGCCTATGCAGTGAGTGTGGTGAGTCAGTTTATGCACTCACCGAGTGTGGATCATATGGCTGCAGTTATGCAAATTTTGGCGTATTTAAAGTTTGCTTCGGGGTAGGGTTTTGTATGAACAACATGGACGTATGAGGATTGAGGGATTTACTTATGCCGATTGGGTAAGTGATGTGACTGATAGGTGTTCTACGTCTAGGTATTTTACATTCGTTGGAGGTAATTTGGTTACTTGGTGAAGTAAGAAACAGAAGGTGGTGTCATGGTCTTTCGCGGAAGCCGAATACAGAGGCATGTCTCATGGAGTGTGTGAGATCCTTTGGTTACGAAAGTTGCTTTGGGGTCTCAATTTCAAGCAGAAAGAGGCGATGAAATTGTATTGTGACAATAAGTCGGCAAGAGAAATAGCAGAGAATCCAGTATAGCATGATAGGACTAAGCATGCTGAGGTTCATTGACATTTTATTAAAGAGAAGCTTGAGAAGAAAATTGTGTCAATACAATTCATGAACTTGAAAGAGCGACTTGTAGATGTTCTTACTCATGCCGTGTGTAGTATCACTTATCAAGTTAGGCATGTGTGATATCTATGCACCAACTTGAAAGGGAGTATTGGCGTGGGTCAATATTTAGGAGAAATGGAAAGTAAATATTATGTAAAGATTAGAGTCATGTTTTAGGAAGGATATATTTGTGTCCTTTATTGTTTCTTTATGTAACAAAGATTGTATGTACTTATATTCAGAATTATGGAATACATGAAAATTAAGCATAAAATTCTATTAATGACTCATAACGCATTCGTTGAGGATAGCGACTGAATCCAAACATATAACTTTATGGCGGCTTCTAATGTGCCAATAATTGTCTATCTCTCTTGACTTGTCAAAGGTAAAGTTCAGTTGTGCATGTGAATCACACATGGGTGGATGGAGAGTGACCGAAATGTCTATGTGGTTCTTTCTGACTACCAAAAGTGTGAACTGTCATAACAAATACACTAATTGATTCTTTAAAGTGTGTGTGTATATATATAAATATATGTAGTGATGACATATTTACTTACCTGGAACAAGTCTTAGTAAAAGATCATCTCTTGACATATATGTTTCTATGAGTCTTTTCAACCTTCAAAAGTATAACCTGTCAAACAAATCCACTAATTGATTCTTTTAAAATATATGTAGTGATGACATATTTACTTATTTGGAACGAGTCTCAGTAAAACATTATCCCTCGAATTTTGAAATAATTGGTAGAAAAAGCAATGGCACGTGATGTTAAAGGATCTTCATTATGGCACGTGCCAAGTAAGCAGATGCATTGAAGCTGTGTCATGAGGACTCGACATTTTTTCACAAGGCTAAAAAAATTTCGTAGTCTCTGTGGTGACACGGTACTTCAATGTGATCCTCATGATGAAATTTTATTAAATAAACCTCCATGGTGAACCCCGGTAGTAGTTGAGGTTCAAATCCAAACTTCCGTTAAATAAACACACGTGACTATGAAGTGGAAAGGTTAAAGCAAGTCAAGAAGGCCAGGACATCTGTCGCAAGTTATTGTAGACTTAGGGTTCAACTAAAGTTGAATTTGACGGAAAAGAGGAGGCTTGAACGACATCGAAGACCTTTGATGGGAAATCCTGATGTTTTTTATAAACCATTGCCGTCTGCACTGCCTACTATGATTGATTCATGGTTTCCCTCAATTGACAGGATCTTATTGTCTCATTGCAACACCACCAAAGCCTCAAGGGGCAGAAACAAGAAGGCAGGAGCTCCCAGAGAGAGAAACAAGCAACACCAAAACGCTATAACGGTAACTAAAAGCAAGGGAAGTCCATCTCTTGCCAATACCAAAACCAAAAAGTGAGCGGGTGGTGACACCCAACGAATTAGTCTCACTCTAGTGTTTGCTAACGATGCAACCAGTAGAGTTGCTCGATTTTTCTTGCCGTGAACACATCTCGTCATATATTGTTGTACCACGTGACTTCTTGTGGCAGATGAGTATCTCACATAGGTACTACTGTTCCGACAAGTTTGGGTTGCCGGCGTAGAATGAAATAAAAGTGAGACATGTCATTATATCGTAATTAAGATATCGAGTTAATTTGAGAGATGAAGCAACCTGGCCAACCACATTTACCCTCTCAGGCAATCTTTAACAACTCCATGTTCTTCTAGTTTGATATGATTCGACTTTTTAAGCATAGCAATTTAGATTTAGCACCAAACATGAAAGAACATTTTATTCTGCTTTTGAAAAATTGAAAGAAAACAATATATAATTGAATGCTTGTCTATATTATAAGAATAGGAAAAGGGACAAATCACTTTACTATCTTTTCCATTGTTGCTAAACAAGAAAATGCCTCCTCAAACTTTATGTCTATCTAATTTAAGGGATATATTAGCTTTGTTGAATATAAATACGGGTGTAAGTCCAGACTCTCAATGTAATCCTCGTTATACACTTGACTTCAAATGTACTTTTACTCTACTAAGATTAATTTAAAATAAAATATCGTTTCTCTTAAAAAAAAAAAGAAAAATTTGACAGATGATCGTTTGCACAATCAGCTATTACAACTTGCCCGCCGCCCCCCAAAAAACACACTCCCTCTCTTTTGTTTCCCTCTCTCTCAACCCTGCCTCCACGAATATGGGTTTTGGGTCTACAACTTGCCCCCGCCGCCGCTGCTTCATATGCACCGATAGCTTTTGGGTTTTGGGGCTAGGTTTACGTGACTTTGAAGTGGCTGATGTCATGTTGAAGTCAGCATGACATCAGATGACACTCATGTGCAAGGTCAGGTAATCCAATAGTGCGGGGTCTAGTGATTGCTCGACCGTTCCGTATGAAGAAATTTTTCATTGCGACTAGAACACAGTTGGTACACCACATGTTTTTATGTAAATGGTCGAAAAAATTATTTTTTAAGCTATTAACTATTTTAACACACATGTCCCACCGTTTGAATTGTGACACATGGTGTACCACCTTATATGCCGGTCACGCTGAAAAATCTCTCCTCCGTATGGGCCGGAGCAAGGTTTTTGGTTTTCTGGGCAATAAATTGCCCAATTGGGGCGGAACCGCTCTTAGCCCACTCCACATTGCTGAGCAGCAGATAAAACCCAAACCAGTTGAGATTCAATGTTCAAACCGGGAATCCAACAAAAGAAAAGAGTTCAAACAGGGTAGCTTCCTTGGGCTTGTGGGGGAGACACCATGAGTTTAGATGCTTCAGCCCATATACGAGTCTATTGCTACCCAGCTTGACTCAGTTGACCCTCTTCTTTTTCTTTTTCCTGTAAACAATAACGATGCACATGCATACACGAAGCTCGTGCCATTAAAGAATGGAAAAAATGAGTCAGCCCACCTCGTAGTTTGAATGAGTTATCTACCAACGTCAAAGATGCTACGTGTGAACGAATAATAAAATAAAAATTTCAGAGGACATGACTCTCTCTTGTTTGTTTTTTCTTTCTCTCTGAAACCATCACTTCCTAACGCCACTTGGTATATAAAAACATACCTTGACAAGTAAACCTACACAAACTTCCACAAAACCAGACGGAGAAGATGCCTGAATACTGTGTAACTGGAGGAACAGGCTTCATAGCTGCTTACTTAGTGAAAGCCTTGCTAGACAAGGGCCATGTTGTCCGCACCACGGTTCGAAACCCAGGTATCCATATTTGCAGTTGTCAGCTACTTCCATCAATTTCACAATTTTTTCATGCATACAAACGATATTCTACTTTAAATGAATTTAAAATTGAAGAAAGGGTGATTCGAACTAGGGTGCAATACGCTCTAGCCAATATGACTACGCTCGAGTCCTCTCAGAATTTATAATTTTAGGTTGTCCCGTGATTTCATCTTCGTATTGATGACTGCGGTTCATGTACCTAGCATTTACGGTTGGTATTTTTTTTATCCTTTTGGTGACAGAGGATGGGGGGAAGGTGGGTTATTTGTGGGAGTTTAATGGAGCCAATGAAAGGCTCAAGGTGTTGAAAGCTGATTTGATGGTGGAAGGAAGCTTTGATGAGGCTGTACGAGGCGTCGATGGAGTCTTCCACACTGCATCACCCGTTCTTGTTCCATACGACGACAATGTTCAGGCAAATTAAACTCTTCGTTTGATCTTTTTGTTCTCCTTTCCCGTTGTTAAACTTCGTTTTATGTAATTCAATCATATTTTTTGATCGATGGGAGAAAACTTGAAAGCTTTCAAAACTGCAGAGTGCAGAGCGCTAGAATGCGGTACGTTCTTGAAAATATTCAAGCTAAAACGAAACTTTAATTGATTGATTGATTGCAGGCAAATTTGATTGATCCATGTATAAAGGGCACACTGAATGTTCTGAATTCATGCTCAAAAGCACGTGTAAAACGGGTTGTGCTCACCTCTTCTTGCTCTTCAATAAGATATCGTTACGATGCCCATCAGGCCTCTCCTCTCAACGAATCACATTGGAGTGATGCTGAGTACTGCAAACACTACAACGTAACCACGAACAAAACCCTTCCAGTCCATGTTTAGTTCCAGATGCATCATAAAAAATAATACGTACATGTTGAATTGATGTTGACATGCAATATTCATGTGTAAATTATTGTTTGTGTACAGCTCTGGTATGCTTATGCAAAAACTACAGCAGAGAAGGAGGCCTGGAGAATTGCTGGGGAGAGCGGAATGGATCTCGTTGTGGTGAATCCGTCGTTCGTGGTTGGTCCTCTGCTAGCACCACAACCAACCAGCACTCTATATATGATACTGGCTATACTGAAAGGTTGTACCGCGTGATGATGTTCTAGTACCGAACAATTATTTATCCAATTTGAGAATAAGGATATTGAATTTGCAATTTCTGAGATAGGTTCAAGAGGGGAGTACCCGAACACGACAGTAGGATTTGTGCACATAGATGATGTGGTAGCTGCGCACATTTTAGCAATGGAGGAAAGCAAAGCGTCGGGAAGGCTGATATGTTCGAGCTCGGTTGCCCACTGGTCGGAGATCATTGAGATGCTGAGGGCCAAATATCCATCCTATCCATATGAAAACAAGTGAGTATTTATAAAGTGTGACCCCAAGCCAAAAATGCTCCCCGCTTTGTTAGAGTCGGAGAGGATAGAGTTGGGGAGGAACGTCAATCTTACATATAGTTTCCTAAATTTTTGTTGGTTCAGTATGGAAAATTATAAACGGAATTTTCTATGTATTTTGCAGGTGTAGCAGCATGGAAGGAGACAGTAATCCACATAGCATGGATACCAGTAAAATTGCTCAACTGGGATTTCCACCTTTCAAAACGCTTGAAACAATGTTCGATGACTGCATCACTAGTTTCCAACAGAAAGGATTTCTATGAAAGAATCGCACAAGGCTTTGCTTTTGAGTGCGTTCCAAGTTTCGTTTTTAGATATAGTTTGAGCTTTCATCCTTGCACCCGAGCCCTAAGTTCGATTTTTCCCTCCTTCAGTATCACTATAAATATTATGTGTGGAATGAGCAAGGGTGATAAAGCAGGATCTCCATCCTTATTTGTGTTTTGTTATGTTCTTCTTTTCCTTTGATTTCAATTAATCAAAAGGAAAGAGACATTCCTCGCTTTGATTTCAATCCAAAGAGAACCGTTAATCACGGTTTCTTCTTGTTTAGTCACAATTTTTTTATTTACATAGATTACCATCTAAAATTCTAAATTACAAAATCTCATCAACTATCTTTTCAATAATTAAAAACGTATTTAAGCTTCTGGAGCTCACAGTAAGCACAACAGTGTTTTCGTTCTTTTTGCACATAAGTTGCAACTACCAATACGTAACGTTGGTGGCACAATTATGCAGCTACATGATAAGCACCTTGAGACTTGATTCAGAACATAGGGGAGGTTCACTTATGAATTGGAAACGATTGCTCTTCTTTTGTTAAACAAAACTGATATGACAAAGGCAACCCAACAATCATCCCCGTTTAATTAGGTTTAATGTCGTAATTAAGCTTAATGAGTTGGGGACAAAATTTAATCTTTGTGACTCATAACGCATTGGTTGAGGACAGCGACTGATTCCAGCGGCTTCTAGTGTGCCAATAATTGGCTATCTTCGGTTTAATCCCCTTCTTAAATCTAGCTTTTGATTAGTGTCCTTTCTTCTGTTTGGGGCGATGTTGGCGGCTGTTGCAGTGGCTGCTATTGTGCTAATGGAGATTAGGATTTTGCTATTGTCTTTTCTTACTTTGCCTACAGGCATGAGTGTATGTGGGCTTCCCGTTATGTATTGGGTTGTTGCTCTTCCTTTGTTGGGGCCTGTTTTTATTTTATGTCTTACTTTTCTTATGTAGGGTTTTATATTTTTATGTTTTGGTTAGATTTAGGCCTGTCTTGCACTGATTGTATTTTTTTTTTCATTAATGAAGCTTTATTTTCGACCAAAAAAGAGTGACTCATAACGCATTAGTTGTGGACAGTGACTCGATCCAAACATATAACTTTATGGCGGCTTCTAATGTGCCAATAATTGGCTCTCTCTCTCTCTCTCTTGATTTGTCAAATGTAAAGTCCACTTGTGTATGATTTTGACTTGTTTAATCCTCTTAAGTTTGGCAAAATTAACAACCGGAAAAGACAATTACAACATATAGAATTTGATCGACCCACTGATGACATAGACTACCAATAATACGTTTACTTGAAGTATAGTGATGACCATATGTGGTTGGAGATGAATTTTGGACTTCGTATTTTATGCGTTAGGATAGGGCAAGTACCAAATTCAATTCCAACGAATGTGAATCACACATGAGTGGACGGAGAGTGACTGAAATGTTTCTGTGATTCTTTCTGACCTTTAAAAGTAAGAACTATCATAACAAATACGTTAATTGATTCTTTTTAAAATATATATATATGTAATGAGATATATTTACTTGCCTAAAACAAGTCTTTAGTAAAAAAATCATCTCTTGACAAATATGTTTTTATGAGTCTTTTTTACCTCTAAAAATATAAATTGTCGAACAAATCCACTAATTGATTATTTCAAAAATATATATAAAGTTTTGACATATTTACTTACAAGTAACAGTAAAATATCATTCCTCTAATTGAAATAAGAGAGTTTTAACAAAAAGTCCGTAATACTGTTCACTTTAAAAGAAAAATCATATTTTTACACTAAAAAGTCAAACATGGTATTATTCATTTTATTATTTGTTTTGTCTTTATCGTTAAAACTTAAAATTTTCAAATTCTTTTCTTTAATTTTTCTTTAAATAATCAGTAGAAAAAGCAGTGGCACGTGATGTTAATGGATCTTCATTAGGACACGTGCTAAGTAAGCAGACGCATTGAAGCTGTGTCAGCAAACACCCATTGGTTTGGTAAATGAGGACCGAATGTGGCTGGGGAGAGCAATTGGAGTACAGCTAGCTCAAAGGGACCTGCAAGGATAGCCTGATCTTTTTACTGCCTCTGGTTCAAGATATGCTTTGTTTGGCAAAAGAAATCCAACCCAGGCCCACCACTTCTGCTACAACCTTCAGTACGTTTTTCACCCAGGATTATCTCCGGATTCTCACATAGGATCAATAGGATCCTCAAATCATGTATGTTCATTAGATATTATGCAGACAGTTTTCATCAAATATTATTTATATATAATTTAAAATAAAATAATTTTTAATTACACGATATACGATAAACGGATATAATTTGAATATCTCTAAAATCCGCACAAATAGAATCCTCATTCCGTTTTCACCACAACGAAGAAAAGAGACTCTCGTACCGCAGCCGTGACGTTTCGTTCCAATATATTACAGCTAATAATTGCCGAGAAAAATTGACATTGTAAAATTGTATCACTGATCCAAAACATAATGGTAACATTCCTTGATATGAAACGTTCCGATCAATTATCCCACTCAATGCTAACATTTCAAGATGGTGAAAACCAATCATCCAATGCCATTCCATTCGAAAAATTAAAACGCACATTGATAATGCGTGTTAGATTTGGAACACCGTCACCTTGGTCTGCATTAAAGGGAGGTAAAGTAGTACCTACGTAAAATAAGGGTCACCACCTACCTTGATATCAAATAACTTGTCATAACTACTGAAAAGACCTGAGAATAAAGAGAGGCACGGGCTTTGTGCTCCTTTAAAGTATTGCAATCCACTCATAAAGCTCCATGAACAACTCCAAGCAGAAACCATAAATGAGAATACAAATGAAACTTCACAAATCCACTAAGCATTTTAAATTCTTCGCGGAAATTAGGTAAAGTAATTAGACTAAATAAGGAGAGATTCGGTAAAGTAAAATTCATTGCAGAAACTTCATAGTAGATCACTACATCACGGAGATGACAGAGAGATGATAACGTTAAACCCTTCTGCGACAACAAATCAGATCGAGCGAACCCTTTGGACGGCTCTGATAGCACAAGAAAACCCAAGGACTCACACTTAACACTACAGCGCTTATGCCGCTAATCACCGTCTTAATCTCTCTTTAAACAAAGAAAGTAATTGAACTCACATAATTACCACTCTCACTCGAGAACTCCTATGTGTTACTTGAGAGTTCATGATATTACGCCTAATTGCTGCAAAACCATAAACAGAGATTTATGATATTACGCCTAATTGCTGCAAAACCATAAACAGAGATTTAACTTAAGATAACTTTCCTAGCTGCAAAATTTATTGGCATACTATGTTGAGGGGTTCATCCAACCAGTAAGCAATGTCATCCTTGCCAAGATCCTCAAAGTCACAGTCGGGTAGACTGCTCGGCTCATCGCTTTCGAACCCGGGAATCTGTATATCCTCAATGCTGCTGTAATTGTCGAAGAACTGCCCAAAATCCTCCAGGCAAAGCGAATCGAGCTCCGGTCCCAAGTTTAGCTCTTGATCAAAATGAAGAGGGTCCAATGTCTCATCAAGAAAACCCAAATCGGGTATTTGCAGCTCTTCAAGATTTGTCGACTCATCGGCAGTCTCCTTCTCCAAATCAGCACCATTCTGAATGTTATTGGAAGCAGATGTCTCCAAATCAAGCACACAAGAAGGAGACCTCTGAGAAACGACAGAGTCGGAATCCTCAGATGAAACAGGTTCGACGTTGTTGTAGGAATTCTTGTTGGAAACGACAGCTGAAGCTGAGGTAGCTGCTGCCAACATTTCTTCAAATTCGAGCCGCTTGGCCTCATAGGCCTTTGAGGCGTCCTCCGCGGTATTGAAAGTACCAAGCCAGAGACGAACCCCTTTGAAAGGATCACGAATCTCAGCAGCCCATTTCCCCCATTTGCGCTGCCTCACGCCTCTGTAAGGAGAAGAGGACTGCCGATGGGACTTGGCGAAAAGCGCCTTCTTGCTGGGTTTTGGGGTTCTGACTCCATTGCTGTCTTGACTCGAGCTCTCTGGCTCGGCGGTGCCTGGCTTCGGGTGCGCGGATGGGCAGAAAGTAACTTCACGAACGAAGCGTTTTGGGTTTTTGGCAAATCTTCTCTCTCTTCCTCCTTCGTCCTCGCTTGAAGATGAGTCATCAGTGGCGTCGGGATCGTAACAGATAATGCGAACTTTCCTCATAATCTTGGACTGGTGAGCAGGATTGGACTTTTTCATTCTGTCTCGCTGATTCAGCGACTGTTTCCGAGGCACAGCCATTTTCAAAAATTAGTTTCAGAAAATGGCTAAAATCTTCTAAACCCCTCAAAAATACCCAAAAAAAAAAAATTGAGATTTGATTTTGAGATGTGAGTGGTATCAAGTTAGATCCCCTCTCAGGAATAAGAAGAGGGAAGAAAATCGTTTTATATGAAAAGCCCCAAAATATTGCGATCCAGAACAAGTCCTGCAAATTACGAAACAAGAACTAGTAAGATTTTGAAAAATACAAAATAAAAAATCAACCCAGAAACGAAAAACCCACAAGGGTTTAACAAAGATTTAGAGAGATTATCCAAAACCCACATACCTTTTTGGTCTCAAACTCATCGAAACGGGTCGAATCACCGGGTTGAATCTCTGCCGGAAAAAGCAGAGAAGCATAAAGCAGACGGCAGGGCAAGCAGCAGTTAGAATCCAGAGCTTCGACGGAGCCCCAATCACCACCAAATCAAAGCTAGCCGACATAAAAACTCTCCACACAGCCTCCTTCACTCTCCTCCGTTCCTCAGAGAAAACCCGTATCCAAAACCCTCTGTAAAAATCTCTGTGAAATGCTGGAGAGAGAGCAAACGCAGAAAAGGCAGACTATAAGGAATAGAGTGATAGCAAGATATAGTCGCTGCAAAACCCCAAAAGCTTCAGACGCTTTGGTGGTCAAAAAAGTTAGAGAGGATTACGAATCTATGGCCACGATTTAACGAGACAGGGATCAGAGAGTGTGGTCAAATTGTTTTCATCGATTTCTACAGAAACATAAAAAATAAAATTAAAATTAAAACAAAAAAAATGACCTTCAATTAAAGATTTGACAACCCAAATCTCTATAAAATTAAATTATCGAAAAATCCCAGAAACAAAAATTAAATTAAATATTCAACAATTTGAAGATACCCTTGTGTTGCTTTCTCGCTCCTCAATATTCTATTCCTCCTCACGTCTCTCTGCCTGCCTTTCAGATTCAGTGTTGGCTTTTTCTCTATGCTTC